CTCCTTACACTCTGCTAATTCTGTCCTAAAAATACAGTTTTACATTGCTGTACAAACTTCTCTGTTTGTCACTATCTTCCTTTCCTACTGGAATGCCACAAGGGGAGACTTGCTATAGTGATTAATGCTGGATCTCTTATACCTAAAATGATGTCTGGAACAGAGTAGATGTTTAATTAATATGTGCTTAATGAATGAGATAATATAACTTATGTAATATGTTCTATTCTCAACACACACAGATATACTTAATTTATTTTTTTAAATTAAAATATAGTTACATTACTATATTGTTCCCTGCTGCAACCTACATGATTTGGTACTGAAATCTAACTGGATCCACAGGGGAATGAAGAAAAAGCAGACACACAAACCTAAGTATATAAAAGCTGAGATCTGTCTGGACCATGCACTGTGATGGATACATACCATCAGTAATAGCAACATGGAAACAGCACATTTATTTTATAAATCTAAATTGAGGAAGAATGTTTATTGTATACAGTAAAACAAAGAGGTAGAGGCGGAATTTCAGGCTCCAGTCATTCCAGTGAAGGAAGCAGCAGCTGATGGTTTTACACACAGCCAACAATCATTTGAAAACACCCATACCTGAACCAGAAGGAGTTCTGCTATGCCTCTTATCCTCATCCAGGGAAGGCTTGCCTTTTCCATGGGTCTGACAGACTGGGGTGTGTGATGTGACTGAACTTATTTCAACAACACATATTCCCTCAGGACTTCCTCAGCTCCTCACACATTCAATACTTCCTCTACCTCCCACTTTCGGTTCCCACACCACTGTGTTCATGTTTCCCACCCAACTACCCCTCAAATCCAGCCTTTTATTCTTTAATGCTCTCTCTCTCTCTCTCTCTCTCTCTCTCTCTCTCTCTCTCTCTCGCTTTCTGGCAAAACTGAATACATGTTTTGTAGCCCTCTAATTTTTGTTCCTTTTCTTTCAAATTTATAAATTTAGCACAATTAATTTTTTCTCATTGTGAAAACACCAACGCCATTGCAACATAAATACTGCATCATTTTACATCCTGCAGCCAAGCAATCAGCTCCTGCCCTGCTTCTACATCTGATGATTTAGTTCAAAAGACCCATATTCAAGTTCAGAAACCCTTCCGCTTGATCTAGTCTGTGTACTATTTTGTTGGAACTGTTAATTGTGTTTTATTTTAACTACTAAATTCTGTTCCATGGTATGTTTTTAGTTTTATTCCTTTATATATAATGAATATATTATATATTTGTATAAGGTGCTATGTATGACAATATACACAAATGTATTTAACTCATTCAGATTACTGTTGAATTGTTCACCTTAGTCTCCTGTTTATTCTTGAGTTCACTCAAATAATTGTTTTGAATTATCTTTCCAGCACTTTAAAGATTTGTTTAACATTGGAGACTATTACTAGAATATTTCTGTGTTTCTATGAAGGCATTTATTGAATCTTTACATTTTTAGCTGTGAAGTCAAATAGCCACTAATTTCAATTTCATGGAGAGCCTTTTGAAAGGAAGACATTTTCTTCCAATGAAATATGAGTATTGATTGGACAAGGTGCTTTGACTTTTGTTCTGGTGTGTACTGGAATGTAGTGTCATGTGATATTTTTCTAAAGATACAATCAGATTTAGTGTGTCTGAAAGTGCCTTGAGATACACCACAGGCTTTTGTGGCAGCAGTGGTGTGACTTCGCTGGAGGTGTGCACTGCATAATGGATCAGTTTGCAAGTTCTTGGAGTCATGTACTGGGTAGAGTAGGGCCACTGGTGGCAGAGCGGTAGGATCAGGGGTGCAAGATAGTCAGCTGGCTTGTCCTCAGATCTTCCCTGTAGAGTGGATGTGATCTTGAGGTCATTCTTCCCATTGTGCTGGACTGTTCATTCTTTGGACTCAAGGCTACTGTGAATGGTTGGAAATCAGTACCAAGGCATCTTTGGTGACACCAAGAAAATTGGGATAAGGGCCAAGTCCTAGGAGAGCTAGTTTTATTGTTTTTTTAATTTAGTCTCTGTGTGGTGGGAAAGTGTAGAACTTATCTGAAGTATTGGCTGGAGAAGTCTGTGAGGCTGAACCATCTCAGTTAGTAGCTTTGAAGTTGTTTTGAATGTAGAATTCTGAAGAAACTGCAACAGAGGCATTCTGAGGGGCTGGATCACTGTGACTTTATTGACATCTGGTCCTTCCTTCCTCCCTTCCTTCCTCCCTTCCTCCCTCCCTTCCTTCTTTCCTTCTTCCCTTCCTTCCCCCCTCCCTCCCTTCCTTCCTTTTGAAAACACACAATACTATTTTCTTTAAATTTATCTATTTATTTTATATCTCAGCCATAGCCTCTCCCCATCCATACCCTCCCAGTCTCTCTTCTCCATTTCCCCCTCAACCCCCAACCCCTCCAACTTCTGTCTCCACCCAGGAAAAGGCAGGTGTCCTATGAGTATAAATAAAATATGACAGACATATCAAGTTGCAGTAAGACTAAGCACTTCCCTATGTACTAAGGCCAGGCAAGGTGACCCAGAATGAGAAGTAGGGTCCCAAAAGCTAGTAAAAGAGTCAGATACAGCTCCTGTTCCCCCTGTTAGGAGTCCCATAAGAGGACCAAGTTACAAAACTGTCATATATATGCAAAGTGCTTAAGTCATCCCCATGCAGGTTCCTTTGTTTTCAGTTCACTCTCTGGGAGACCCTATGAGCTCAGATTAGTTGACTATGTGAGCCTTCCCATGGTGTCCTTGACCCTCTTTGTCCTTCATGTCTTTCTCCTCCTCTATACCTTTAAAATCACTGTTTGAATCTAAAGAATAGTTCTTAATACACTTTAGATTTTTCCTATAAACAATTTCTGCTAAAACTAGGTATAGACTTCACTTCTCTCATTTACATTATTATTCATTCATATAAAAGCAGTGATATTTATGTCAGGGCTTATATATCATGGCTATATAAAAGAGGTATGACATATTGTTCTTTTTCTGAATGAAGCATGTGGTCTCTGTCCAGTCTTGTTCATATAATTATTTTAAAATACCTTTCAAGGATGAGGAGATAGATGATATAGGTAGTATAGATAGGGAATGGTGAATAATGATCAAGAAGGATTAAGTGAAGTGTGGGCAGGAGGGCAGGGTAGAGGAAGGAGTATATGGAAGGAAAAGTATCATTAATACTCTTTGAAAAAGGCAAATGGAAGCCTATTACTATAGACATACAAACAATATACTATATTTATCAACATTTGAACTAATAATATGCATAGACTTCAGGTAAGACTACAGGTAAGCCTACAGAATGGAAAAAAAAACATTTGCTTACTACACTTCATTTCATATTTGCCAAATAAAATTAAAAGTTTTCATAAAAATACAATAACCATAGCCCTGAATGCTATTTGAGGAATCAGAAATTAAGTAACCTTGTGTGAGAAAAAGGTGGTTTAAATGGTGTACTGCCCCTAGAAGACTTAAGTAGTATACCGGAAAAGTGGGACAAATGTGTGGGACATCTTTGCTGCCCTGAATACTGGAATGCCGTCAAGGATAACTCACAAGCTGTGAGAGTTTGCTGATGACACCAATAAAATAAAAGAACCGTGAGCATGTTTTCTAAGTGATGCTGTTACTTAAAAACAAAAAACAAACAAACAAAAAAAAAAAACAAAAAAACCAAAAAACTAGTTTGTATTTAATTTATTTTGTGTGTTTTGTTTACATATGTGAATGCAGTACTGGCACAGGCCAGAAGAGGGAGGTAGATAACCTGGAACTGGAGTTACAGGTGATTGTGAGTCATTATGTGGATGCTGGAAATCAAATCTAGTTCCTCTGGAAGAGCAACAAGCTCTCTTAAACACCCAGCTCTCTTTCTCTGGCTCCATATGGTCACTTAAAAAATAAGCCATTAATATTTTTAAAGTCTTTTATTTTTAATCAGTTACAATGGATGGAACTATGCAAGGTTGTGCTTTAAAAAATCTCCTTTCTTTAAAAGACATAAAATATTACTTATAAAGCTTAAATTTAAAAAAATTAGCCTTTATATTACATTAACCAAGCATTTAAATTTCCAGGATGCCCCCCCCCACAAAAATCAGTGCAAAGAAATCATCTCATTGATAGAAGTTAAGTAAAATATGTACTGTGCTTGTGGCCTGGTGAGGGTATCCACACTGAGGTGTTCTCCTTGAGATTTAAATAATCCAGTGCCACTTTAGCAGCACAAACTATTGACAAAGACATGAACATAAGACATGTACATGATTCAGTGGTGTCTTTTATTGCCTTTGACTCCTGCAGTCTTTCCCCCTCTCCTCTGCGGGGCTCCCTGACTTCTGATGGATCTGATGGAGACTTCCAATTTAGACACTCTTGCCATTGAATCTATTTTATTTATTTATTTAGGAAATACAAAAGATTTATTTTATTTTTTCTTATTTTACATATCAATCCCAGTCCCCCCTCCCTCCCATACCAACCACAGTTCCCCCTCCCTCTCCTTCTGCCCCACCTTCCCTCCTCCTCCAACCCACTTCCATCCACTCCTGAGAAACAGAAAGGCCTCCCATAGGGAGCCAATAAAGCCTGAGACATTCAGTTGAGGCAGGACCAAGCCCCCCCCCCTCCCCATATCAAAACTGAGCAAGGCATCCCACCATATGGAATTGGCTTCAAAAAGTCAGTTTATGCCATAGGTATAGATCCTGGTCCTAATACCAGGAGTCCCACAAACAGACCAGGCTACAAAACTGTAGCCCACATACAGATGGCCTGGTTAGATCTCATGCAGGCTCCCCAGCTGTCAGTCTAGAGTCCATGTACTCATACAAGTTGGAGTCAACTATCTTTGCGGGTCAAGAATATGACTGGGAAGCACACTGAATCCATTTTCAATAAAAGCAAAGCAAAACGAAATAAGGGAATCCACATGAGAAGGAACCATGATGAAGTCTATTGAATTGCTGTTATTTTTCATTCTGTTTTCTCAGACCAGTTGAGTTTTCAGAAACGGAATACGCACGAATTCAATATCAAAGAAGACAACAACAATTCTGGGACCCTATTAGACTATCTCTTTTCACATTGGCGATTGTAGCAATCATAGGAATAACAATTGGCATAGTCACTCACTTTGTTGTTGAAGGTAAGTCCCTAGGACATGTTCCTATTGTACAAGTGCACTCTGTTGCATAAAACTTGACATTCCTATGATATGAGATGGTAAATAATATTTTATTGATGTAAAAGTATAGTTTGCTAAGAACAACAGAAAGCCTGCATTACACGTTTCTAAATATTAAAATTTTAAATAGATACCACACTGATAGGCACAGGTAAACAAAACACAAAGAATTTTTAAAAAAGGAAAAATGTCTTCAGAACAAGGACAAGTTCAAGCTATGAGCCTGACTGCTCTTCTCAGAATCAATATATTGATGAATCACCTCCAGAAAGCTTGTTTTAGTTGTGACTCTGTAGTGTTGGCTACTAGTCCCAGCTATTCAGGAGGCTAATGAAGGAGGATTATGAGTTCAAGGACTACCTGGGTTATAGAGTGAGACCAAGATTGGCCTCATCAAATGAACAGCTTGTCTCAAAATGTGAAGATGATATTCAGTAAAAGAACAATTTCCTAGGAGATGCTAGGTCGTGGATTCAAATCCCCCATACCATAAAGAAATGAAGAAACGGGAAGAAAGGAAAGCAGTCATGCTGGCAAGCAGACAGACTGGCAGGGAGGGAGGGGTGAAGGGAGGGAGGGAGGTATGAAGGAAGAGGGGTTAGAAGAAAGGATACGGGAAGGAAAAGAAAGGGGGAAAGGAAAGAGAAGGTAAAAGCTTATTATATAAAAACGTTACCCCCAAAACATCTTTAGAAAGCCAAAGCCAATATTATATCTGAAGGAAAGTAAAATAATTTCATGACTGGGGAGAAGGAAAAACTCAGGACTAATTTCTAACTGTATGAAAAAATGGTACCACAGATGAGCCTAATGGCACATAGCTAAGATCCGTGTACCTTTGTCTTTGCATATTTGTAAACATACGTGACTGAAACTTTGTTTAAAATTCCAGGGACTCCCACAGGTCATAAGAATGGCATGACACCTGAACAATCTATAAAGAAAAAGTGAAAAATATCTAAAATTCCCAGCTTGCTTTTCTACAGACTTTAATTGGCTCATTAATGTTTATTTCTTAGACAAACCTAAATTATATTATGTTCTGCAATTTTATCGTTCTTGTTGACATTTTGGGTTAGAACTTAGTAAAGTAGGTTTTGTTTAAAATCCTCTCCTGCTGATAGTTGGCAAACCTAGGGAGCTGGGGCAGAAGGCTCACCAGGTCAACTCAGAACATATTTAAATTCTCACTCAGTCTGTGCTGGAGAATAAGACTATATCTTAGAAATAGCAAATAAATACAAAAGAGCCTACACAACCCCAATGTTTCAGGTGTTCAGGAAAGAAACAGTAAAAGAATAATAAAAGTAGCTGGCATTGGTGGTGCATGACTTTAATCCCAGCACTCAGGAGGTGGAGGCAGTCAGATCTCTGTGAGTTCCAGGCCAGCCTGATCTACACAGCTAGTTCCAGGACAGGTTCCAAAGCCACAGTGAAACCCTGCCTCTAAACAAACAAACAAACAAAAAGAATAATACAAATAGTGTCATAAAGCATTTTAAAGAAACTGTTGCAATGGTTGTGATAGGCACTCATCCAATGAGGTTCTCATCCTAATCTTCAGACTGTGTGAATGTTATACAGAAGAAGAGAAATCATTTACAATGTTGAGATGGGGATATTATATAGATTTTCTGTATGGTCCCTAAATAGAATGGCAAAGATCTTTTTAAGACAAAGGGGGAAAAAGTCAAAGGAAGAAGGTACTGAAAGAGAAGGGGAAATTGGGTCATACAACGTGGAGCTAAAGGATGAGGTCACTCTAGGAAATGACAAGACAGATTTTCTCAGAAAAATCAAACTTCACCTCATGGAGATTTTAAACCTATTAACGGATGTGAGACTTCTCACTTACAGAACTATATGAAAACAAATTTGTATTGCTTGTATATAACATAATTTACTTACCTTTTTATGTATGTGGGGGATTACTGAAAGTTATAGGTGCTAAAAGAATATCAACCACCATATATCTTACGTATTTATCTTGGTATATATGTGAACATGTATAAGGGTTTGCCTAGGAAACACGAAGATGTAAAATTATCTGTATTAACCCTGAGCTGTGCTATGCAGAATCTCTTTTTATTTAAATTAACTTTTATCTTTTATTGCTGTATGTCAATTATCACTGTCACATGTCATCCAACATTTATTATTCCTTTCCATTTATAATTGCTAATTTGGTGCAGGTAAGCATTAGCATTGCAAGTTCAATTTTAAATTGTATTTGCCTCATCAGCAATAATGTTGAGGACTATTGAGGACCTATTAATGATTCAATTTTTTATTGTCTATTTAAAAATTTGATATAATTTTTTATTAAATCATTTGTCTTTCTTAATTTTCATTATTTTTCTCTTTGTTTTAATTAATTTTGAATATTTTGTAGATGAGTGTCCATTGCCAGTTGCATATTAGAAACAATTTCTGCCAGTGAAAAACATAATGGAATATTTAATAATTGCTATATAATTTTATTAACTATATTAGTATCTTTAAGGATTAATGAATAAAACCATAGTTACTACCATATCATATGATCTGTAGAATGAACTGAAAATTCATTCATGGGTTTGGAAATTGTCCACTCCTTTTTAGGAAGAATGGCTGACTTTTTAATTGTTGCTTTTACTTATTGGAATTACATATTAGCTGTTTTTCAAATTTTTAGATAGTTAAAATTTTATAATTTTGTATAAATATTTCTCTTGTTATAGGGTAAAAGTAATGCTGGTATATAATGTTACATGAAAATTTGAAGAATGCAGTTTGTAAAACTGCATGTTCACAAAATTCATAAATATAATTTTTGATACAATTCTAAAACTTGGTTTCTCAAAGCTATAAAGTATTCATCTGCTTTGAGATAGCCCACTTATTTTCTCACTATGAAGGACCAACTCTCCTTCCAGGGAGTAGGAATTGTATCTTCTGTTGAGATATAGAGACAGATGTGTCATGGTTTTAATCTCAGACCCACCATCTAGAATGATCTGGAAGGTTAGTTTCTACTAACCAAGCTTTAAGAAGTCCTTTTTAATGTTCAACTTCCTTATTGCAGAAATTACCAGAAGAGATACAACTTAGAACCACTGTAGTATCATGTAGTGACTACTATAATTATTGTACAATATACAATGTATTTTAGAGTTTTTATAAGGATTTAAGGGTATTACAATCATCTTTACATCTCCACAACATCCCAAGGGATGATTTGCTCAACTGGCAATCCTAGACACAGAATTACAAGCAACTTAAGATGCTGAGTATGGAGGAAATAGTCTTCCCATAGAAAAGCCCACCAACTGGTTATCCAGTAACAAATGTCAGCCCGAAAACATATGCATACAAGTAACTTTATATAGATCAAGTAGGTGGTATTTACATATTTGTGCATGTACGTGCGTGCGCGAGTGCGCGCGCGCGCGTGTGTGTGTGTCCATGAATTTAAAAGACAGCAAGGGAGTATACATGTGAGGTTTGAAGGAAAAGTGGAGGAGGAAATGATATAATTACATTATAATTAAAATATAAAGTATTTGGTTTGCACTTGGTTTAATTACAGTACACAGTTTCAAAAATGTCAGGGTTTTATCGTTAGAGAAAGCTGGTTTTGGATCATCATTTTGCTGATTCCAGACTCTATCTGAATAATATGGAATATTCCCATTAGAGAAATTATAAAATAAATTAATAATCATAACTAAGGATTTTACAATATTTTTATTGATTTTAAATTACCTTTTTATATTTTAAGACTAAAATGTATTGAAATATAGATAGATATAGACAACACTGAAAAAAATTCCTGTCATCAAAATAAATAATAGAAACTCATTAAAAAACTGTTATGAAGTCTTGTGAAGATATGCATAGAGATATAATTTGGGTCCATTAAGACACTGCATGTATAAAGTGATTGATTAGAATTTGGTGTCTGCTTCAAATCAATCTGCTTGGTAAGTATTGATTCATTCAGCCACTCACTCATGAAAAGGAATTAAGTTATGATCTTAAAAGTGAAACCATGATTACAATCAAATGGAGGATAGATTATTTAGGTTAAAAAGTCATTATGGTTCATCTCTTTCAACTTTTAACTAAGCTGTATTCTTAAAAAACAAAATACTAACTGGGCATGGTGGTGCACACCTTTAATCCCAGAACTCAGGAAGCAGAGACAGTTGAACCTCTGTAAGTTTGAGGCCAGCCTGATCTACAGAGTGAGTTCCAGGACAGTCAGTGTTATATATAGAGATCATGTTTCAAAAGAAAACCCTAGGATTAATTCATAAATAACAAAAAGAAGGTACAGAATTGTAATAATCCATCTTAGCCAGATTAAATGACAGTTTAAACAGAAAAAAAAAAAACCCAAATGATACTGTAAAATACTTGTAGCTATTAATGTTAGAATATATTTAATCTCTTGTAAATTTAATTCTTATTCATTCTAGGTGTCTTTGATATTATTTTTAATCTAGAAAGTGTTTTGAAACAGAAACTGTAATTAAATTAAAATGAGAATTTTAATATAAAATGTTGTGTGCTTAATAAGTGCACATATTGAAACAGGCATTCCTTAATTCGATACTCTATAAAAAAAAAGTTTAGGGCTCTTAAGGTACTGTGTTCCTTTTGGTAATAGCTTCAGAATGTTTCTTCCTCTTTGAATGAAAAGTAGTCCAAAGCTCCCCTCCAGAGGCTGATGTCCTGTTAGTAGGAGCTCTTCAAAGTGCAGTATAGCTGTGCAGTTGTGGCTGCTCAGTGTGGACATTCCAACCATCATCTTGAAAAGAGGCAGTGTCAAAAATAAGAAGACAGTAGGGAACTCACTATGAAAAAGATTTTCAGAGAAAGCAACAGTAGAAGCAAAATCTCGAGGGATACGAACTATAGGAAAATAGATTTTGCTGTTGCTTAAACATAAATTCTTATCATGTAGAAAAGAAGACAGGTTCCACACAGGTAAGGATGTGGTGTGTCAAAGTAAAAGAGTTAGGACTCCTTCCCATGGTAATGGAAAAATGGAAAGGCTTCAGGTGGGCAAGCGGTATTACCAAATTGGCAGTCTTGAAGACAGATTTTGACACTGGCTACTGTGTGAAGAATGGGAGAAGAGATGGGGATGCTCATAAGAAGGCTGTAGATATTGTTCTCAATGACAGGAACATAAGCTAGATTGGGTAGTGACATTTATGAAGAAGAGTTTTTAAACTTAGGCAAATGCATCATCAAAACCCTGTACATGATAAACTTATGTTAGCAGTTCTCTGAGGGACTAAAACATGACTTTTATGGTTTCATTTGATATTGACTTTTCATTTTATGTTAAATTTCTAACTGTACGGAAGTTTTGAAGTGCATATGCATCTATAAGAGGGGTATCTTCGCTAACTACAGTGATGAAATTATACAGTGGAGTTTTTGAGTTTTATAGTTATGGTTGTTCTAGACAGAAATAGACTTAGCAGGGGTGGGAACAAAGAACCTAGTACGTGTAAACTAGGATCTTCCATTCTCCTTGCCTTTCAGATGATAAGTCATTCTACTACCTTGCCTCTTTTCAAGTCACAAACATCAAATACAAAGAAAATTATGGAACAAGGTCATCAAGAGAGTTTATAGAAAGAAGTCATCAGATTGAGAGAATGGTAAGTAAGATCAATAAGAAATGCTGATCTTCACAAAATTTAACAATTTGACTATTCAAATTTGCCATGCTGGCAGTCTGTATCTCATTGAGGATTTAATTCTCATTCTCCTGTTTATTAATTTTTACAGTAGCTATCTGCTGTGTTCATTTCTTTTCCATCAATGTTTGTTAATGATGTTGACCATTTATATATAAACCTATATGGAAAATATGTATGTATTGAAAATAACCTTTCCCCCTTTTGTTCTGTGTGGTTTTATTATCATTATAATATGTTATGTTTAATTAATAGCCAAGAGCTGGGATGGATACATATGACTACATAGAATAATTTATGAACAGTTAAATCAATGCCTTATTCACGGTCCTCAATAGAAATAGTAAAGATAGTCAATGCTGTCTACAGACTACCTGCAATTTCAGAGCCACACAGTGACTGGCTTTTTCATTGACTTCTCTGTTTGACCACATGTATAACTCTGCTCTGTTTGGAGCAGAGTTAAGAAAGGTTAAAATAAAGCACCTATTGGAAAGCTGGCAATAGGAGAGGCATTCCTTCTTAGAGAAAAACACTGTAGTTGCTTGTCCAGTGGCAGATGGTTAACCCTGAAAACATACATACAGGTAGCATTATGTGGGTTGAACATGCTGTATTTAAGGATATATAAAGGACATGAATTTGAAGGAGAGTAGGGAGGGTTATATAAGAGGAGGTAAAGGGAGGAAAGGAAAGGGGAAAATGCTGTAATTAGATTGTGTTCTCAAAAAGAAAAAGAAAGCAAGGTTATAATTATTTTCATCCTCAGTATTTCTGGTTTAACCACTTAAAAATGTTAGCTTTATACTCATCTAATGCCATGTACCATAACATTCACTGAAACCCTTTTTTGTGATTTAAAAAAAAAAAACATATTCTAAAATGACAATAAAGCTTGAGGGGCTGTCTTAAGGTTCCTCTCATTTTCTTTCTATGTCAAATATAAAACTTGAAATACAAAAATTGCACAAGACACAGTTATTACTATGGAAACCACTTTCCCATGGAAGTTTATTGACTATTTCCCTCACTTTAAGTTAAGCCTCATCTAAAAATTGGGAACATGTGATACAGAACTTCCAAGAAGAGGGCACAGTGGAATGAAGGCGTCGCACAGCATTCTCTGGTTCTAGAGTAAATTCTGTGACTGGAAGTTCCTGATTAATGAAGATTTCTGATTAAATGATTGTTTTAGGCTAATAATTCCAGGAAAGTTTATTTAGAAGTTGAGATAGCAGGCATGCACACAGGAAGAATCTAAGCAAAGATGTGGTTTCAAACATCCAGGCTCAACTTGATTTGTCTGGAAGATTTGGGTCTTAGCTTACATCACAGAGGTGATTCTATGCAGACGTAGTAGGGCTGGGCTATTTGTCATAACCAAAAGGTGATGCCTGAAAAGGTAGATAATATCTTCCCAGACATTACTGGGCATGTTTCCCCAGTCAGACAAGGACAAGGCTGTGGGAAAGTACAGATGTGAAGCGTTATCAGCCAGCACTTACAGGAATTGGTACATCTACCCACTATATACATTTCAGTTAATACAATTTTGTATTTATTGTTTACTATTTATATGCTGAAATTCTCTTGTCACAATCTACCATATTGTAAAAAAAAATCTAATGCTTTAAAGAATTTCTTGTCCTTTTGGTTGTGAGCTTTAGCTTTTAATGGTTGAGCCATCTGATGGATAGTCTGGTTTGGCTTCTCCTTTTGTTTATTTCTAATTTTCTCCCCTATTTACATATAGTTCATTAAAATACAGATACGTAAAATGAAGGCTAGTGGGAAAAATTAGAGACTCACTTGGTTTTAGATATGACTGATTTCAGGGGATCAAACAATGTTCTTAGGCCAATGTCCTTCCTTATTTTTTTATCCTTGGAAGATATAGCTAACACCTGCTTAATGCATTTTTCTAAGTTGCTAACTAAAGCAGCAGGACATTTTCCTGTGATTATCCCTAGATGGATGTTTGAAGAATCAGTCTTACTCGGTTGGTCAAATTTAGAATTGAAAACTGGCCAAAATACTGAAACTCTTTCAATCTTGTGAGCCATGGAGATAAGTTTAGGTCCTTTTGAACTATGTAGATAAAACTCCACCCTTATTCTACAGTCTACCTGACATATCTACTTTGATCTCTTGGAGGCATCTCAAATTAATCTAGTTTAAAGGTCCTTCTTGAAGACTGCTCCCTCTAGTGTCCTCTCTGAATTTTCACTGAACAGTTCTGTCTACCTCATTGCTAGAGTACCTACATTTGCATTATCCACATGCCTATTCTAGTACAAGTCAGTTTTCTACCTCTAGTCCAATCTCCTTTCTAGACTAGCTAGAATAATAGTTGTAATGATGATGATGATGATAATAACAGCATTTAATAGAAAGATGCCATGGATAGAACTTGGGTGAAGGGGTGGAGGATTTTTTTTTTTATTTTTATTGGGGGGGGAAGTGAATGGGAAAAGTGGGGTGGGGAGAGGAGAAACTGGCCTCTGAGGACAGGAAAGGCAGAAGAGAAGAGAGAGGCAGAGGAGGAGAGAGAGAGAAAAGAGAGAGATGAGAAGTGGGCAGGGCCTTTTTAAAAGAGAACGTAGTGAATGTGCAACAGGGCCTGCTGTTAGTGGCTGCAGCTGAGGGTGTATTCTGTCAGAACCCAAGGACAGGCCAGCACAGATGCTTGAATACCAATAATAATCACATATTCTAATCAGTTATCACTACTTCCATTCAGGATCCCTCTCATATCTACAGAGAAATCAGAATGACCTTTTGAAAATGAAGTATTGTGTTCTTAAAGGCTTCCAAATAGGCTTAGAACAAAATCTAGTCTCTTCACTCAAGTTCCCAAATGCTGCCCTGTTTTGGCTCTACGGACTCCCATGCCTGCCCTCTGCCTCACTCACTTTACTCTTCCCATGTTGGTCTCCTCTTGGATTCTTTGCATAGTCTGTTGCTTCCACACAGCAGAGTACCTCAACCTTGTTGATTCTTCATCATCTAAAAAACCACTTAAACATCACCTACTTGGGGATCCCTTCTCTTTTACAATTTCTCAGTTGTTATCCTATATTACTTTACTAATGACACTTGATAATAAATATCTGTTTTATTCCTGTCTAACTGTATTTTGAGTTAAAGTCCAGCACCATTTTTATCCAGTGCTGTTAATCCAGTGTCTACTACAATGCTTGAACACAGGGGACTTATGATTATACTGAATGAATACATTAGTAACATAAAGGGAAGAAGGCAGTTATAGTAAGAGTCAAAAAGCACTGTAAGACTTGTTTTGTCTATTTTTTTTTTTTTTTTGGTTTTTCTTTTTTCTGGTTTTGCTTTAACAATGTTGATTAAGACTACCCATAACTATAGATAGTTAATAATTAATGACTATGAAATTATGCAATCACACATACCTCTGCAAACCTGTAAACGATGCCAAGGTCATCATAGTCCCTTCCTTCAAAGAACATACAACCGTGATTATTAATAATCCATTAATAATCAATGGAAGCATATTCATGGAAAAGAACAGAATGAATATTAAAATTAAGCAATGACAGGATGAAACAATCTGAGACCTGTACAGTCAGTGTACAATGGCTAACTGTGTGGTTTGAAAGAGCCTTTTGGAAATCTGAGGAAGGAAACTTGTGGAGTCAGCAGGAAGTTTTGCCAAAGTGCACTGTTCTATCAGTGTACTCTTTCTCTGCTGGGCCATAACCACCCTTATAGTAGAAAGATACCTATACACCTGGCCTTATTTTCATAGATAAACATTAAAAATGAATTCTCCAGCAGCATTTCCTGGTATCCAGGGGGAGTTTTTCCTTTTTATTTTTTTTTTATTTAAATTAGAAACAAGATTGTTTTACATGTTAATCACAGTTCCCTCACTCCCCTTTTCCCCTGCTTCTCACCAACCCCCAATCCCATCCCCTTTTTGCTCCCCAGGGAGGGGGAGGCCTTCCATGGGGGATCTTCAAAGTCTGTCATATATATCATTTGGAGCAGGACCTAGGACCTCCCTGTGTGTCTAGGCTGAAAGAATATCCCTCTATGTGGAATGGGCTCCTGAAGTCCAATGTATACTAGGGATAAATACTGATCTACTACCAGAGGCCCCATAGACTGCCTAGTCCTCCTAACTAACACCCACATTCAGGTGGTCTGGGTTGGTCCTATGCTGGTTTCCCAGCTATCAGTCTGAGGTCCATGAGCTCCCCCTTGTTCAGGTCAGCTGTTTCTGTGGGTTTCTCTAGCCTGGTCTTGACCCCTTTGCTCATCACTCCTCCTTCTCTGCACTGAATTCCAGGAGTTCATGTCAATATTTAGCTGTGGGTGACTGCTTCTACTTCCATCAGCTACTAGATGAAGGCTCTAGGATGGCATTTAAGGAAGTCATCAATTTCATTATCAGGGAAGGGCATTTATGGCAGCCTCTCTACTATTGCATAGTTGGGATCATCCTTGTAGTTCTCTGGACATTTCTCTAGTGCAAGATTTCTCTTAAAACCTATAATGACTCCCTCTGTTATGGTATCTCTTTTCTTGCTCTCCTCTATTGTTTTCCTGATTCAATCTTCCTGCTCCTTCATGTTCATCTCTCCCTTCCTCTTCCCCCTAACTCTGTCTCCCCTCTCTTTCTCCTTCTCCAGGGGACCATGTATGCCTGTCTTAGGGTCCTCCTTGCTTCCTAGCTTTTTTGGCAGTGTGGATTGTAGGCTGGTAATCCTTTGCTGTATGTCTAAAAACCATACATGAGTACATAACCATGTTTGTCTTTTTGTGACTGGGTTGCCTCACTCAGGATGGTTTTTTCAAGTTCCATCCATTTGCCTGAGAATTTCATGATTCCCTTATATTTTTCTGATGAGTAGTACTCCATTGTGTAAATGTACCACATTTTCTTTATCCATTCTTCAGTTGAGGAGCATCTAGGTTGCTTCCAGGTTTTGGCTATTAATAAATAATGCTGCTATGAACATAGTTGAACAGATGTTCCAGGAGGAGTTGATTGTTCTCGAGAACTTAGTCTTTATGTAGTTGCTTGACAGGGGAGAAAGATATAACCAAGTAGCCACGAGTATATTTTGTTTAATGCTGGAATTAAAGCCAAGGAAGATGGTATCTAGTCCAAACAATTAATTCTATCCTTAAGTTTTTTTTGGTCAAACCCTAAAAATAACTTTGCTAATGATTATTTAACTTGAAATAAATGGCTAATCTTGTTTCTTTTTTTTTTTATTTTTCACTCATAATTTTTTTTTTTAGTGTCATTGAGTTTCTACCAGCTGACTGTTTGAATTGTATCTTGGCTGATTCCACACAAAGTTTTAAAAAATATTTCAAGAAATATTTGGTGTTTTTTTTTTGTGAGCCTAGCCTTTAATGCCTGAAACATCTCTCTAGTACCTTTTCAATTTTTAAACAGTTTTTTGTTGATATATATTCATGTACAGAGTTCTTGGTTTTAGAAATACATTTTCAGGGCTGGAGAGATGGCTAGGCTCACAACCAAAAATATCAGAGAAATACATTTTCATTCATATTTACCATGTACTTCGACCATATTCACTTCTAATACCTTCTTCCTTATCCTCTCACCTTTACAACCCTCTTTCCAGATACTTACACTACTGTTTTACATTATATATATGCATATACATTTTTATATTCAAGGTATTTTATACATAAAATCTAGGATTTACATATGAGAAAGAATATATTTGTCTTTCTGAGTCTAGCTTATTTTTCTTGCTCTACTCTTTCTAATTCCATCTATTATTCTTCCATATGACTTGAAATACATTATTCACTTACATCACAATATATTTTCTTTGTCCGTTCGTTTACTGATAGACACCTCATGGCGACCCTTCATGGAATCGGTCTGCATGTTCATACACACAGGCAGAGGTGGCTTTCAAGTCAGGGCAGAGCCAGACTGGAACCAACAAAGGAGGAAGTCAATAGCGCTTACTCTGAGAGAGCAAGAGTTAAATACATTCAACTTTCTGTTTTATAGATGTCAGTTTTGCTTGCACTGTGGGGGAACACCGCAGTGACAAGAAGAACCATATAACACGGGCTTCTGAGGTGATGACAGTTGTCCGCCACTAGACTGAAACAAGGAAAATGGGTTTAATATTTAGAGGGTAGACTCTTCTGAGTGTTGCACTAGTTCTTCAGAGTCATGGAAAGGAAGAAAGTATATGGAACAGGAACACAGACCCCTTCCTCCCAGAGGGTATAGTAACTGGGGATGGGGTGTGAGGGGGTGGGTGGGAGATGTAGTTTATAAAGACACTTTGGTTCATTTAACACAGACTTGTGCCTTCTGACTTTTGATGGTCAGCCCAGTGCTCTTTGATGGTAAGTTTCAGCAAGACTCCTTTTAAGGAATCAGGATTCTAGGAAACGAGTTCTTTGAACACTACAAATCTTTCGGCAGGTTTAGTCTGGAAAGACTGAGGAATGTCATGTTCATGATAGGAAGTGTGGTGAAATGGATTAACACTACTAGTATTAGATGTTTAGTTCTGACTCTCAGAGAGATGATTCACAGTGAGCTGTCAGAGTTGTTATAGTCATTCAAATGGCCAAGTGACACAGTAATCATTGACAAATTCAGCAGACCTGGAGAGTGTAGCAAAGGGGCTGCTGGGCTTTTTTAGAACTGAAGATGATGTCTTAAAATAACACGTTTAACAATTAAGACTAAAATTATTTTGTAATTTGCTAGACATTAAACATGATATAAATTTATTTCCTTTAAAAATTCTACTTGTTTGAGACTTTGAAGTTCCCCCATGGAAGGCCTTAGCTTTCCTGGGGAGTAGAAAGTAGATGGGATGGGGGTTGGGAGGGGGACAGGGGGGGAGGGGAGCATGGGGGAACTGGGATTGACATGTAAAACAAGCTTGTTTCAAATTTAAATTAAAATAAAATAAAAAAATTCTGTGTATGTGTATGTGTGTGTATGGGGGGGAGGTCTATACAAGTGCACGTGCATACCTTCCTGTGAACATACAAGGTCAGACGACGACATCACATAAAGTATATTCTGATATCAGTTTTCATCTATTCCTTCCAGCCACAGTTTTCCCTGAACCCAGGGGTGCCTGCTTTCAGGGCTAGGCTTAAAGCAGCAAGTCTCTGTAGCCCCCACAAATTGGAATTACAAGGAAGCCTGGGTTATCTCTCAGGTACTAGAATGTGTATCTGTATCCTTATGATTTCAGTGAAAACATTCTTAGACACTGATCCATCTTTTTAGCTCCCAATTTTATTTCCCAAATCAACTCTGTAAGACAGATATCATAGTCATCCCAGTTTATGCAGAATCAGTAAATTTGACCATTTTGAAAAGGCTTTTCAGTTCCGCAAGGATCTGAATACAGATTTAGTCTTCCCACTGTGGAAACCCAATATGCATCATGAAAATCAACTAAAATCTGGTCATCACCAAAAAAAAAAAAAAAAAAAAAAAAATTCTTGATAAATAAATAATATGTTTCTCAGGACTAACACTTCTTATTTATTTATTTCTCAGATGTCTAGGATTTTTCGACGTTCTTCTGGAGTGGGTCGATTTATCAAGTCCCATGTTATCAAGATAAGGTATGTAGACCTGCTCTGTGATTTCAAGCCAATATCATAAAGACGGCACGTTTAATTCACATGGCTGTTCAGCCACCCTGAGAATAATTTCATTTTATCAAAGAGATTTCATAAAATTTAAGCAACACGGGTTATGCTCTCTGACCATTTCAATGACTTCTTTGTCACAATAGGAAGATAGGTGTTTTACAAGAGACTCACAGCTATTAGGTGAGAAAATAAATATAGAGAAAGGAAAGGACACGAGAGAGACTGTTGTACTAATACCGACCGTCCCCCATTAAGAAGGAACAAAATAGAACAGAATGTAGGACCTTTTCATTTTCCTCTCTTGAAGTCTATAACTGTCACTGTCACTTCCTATGCAATGTTTTTCTTTAATGTTTAACATTTTTGTTGTTTTTTTCTTTTTTAATTTAAATTTGATACAAGGTTGTTTTACATGTCAATCCCAGTTCTCACACCTTCCCATCCTCCCCTATCACCTCCACCAAACCCCAGCCCATCCCCTTTCTGCTCCCCAGGGAGGGTGAGACCTTCCATGGCAGACCTTCAAAGTCTGTCATATCATTTGGAGCAGGGCCTAGGCCCTCCCCCATGTTTCTAGGCAGAGGGAGTATCCCTCTATGTGGGATGGGCTCCTAAAGTCCATTCATATACTAGGGATAAATACTGATCCACTACCAGAGGCCCCATAGACTGCCCAGTCCTAACTGACACCCACATTCAGGGGGTCTGGGTCAGTCCTATGTTTGATTTATTTTTTTAGTGCCTTTTTGTTTTAATACTTTGGTGAAATGTAGTATACATAAGTTAAACATGGAATTATTATCAGGGACTAAGACCTGTCTTTTTTCACATTTCTTTATTCTGTTCATGTCTGGCCATGTGCATCACTCAGCACACACATGGAAGTTAGAGGACAACCTATAGCACTCAGTTCTCTGCTTCTGCCATGTGGGTTCCAGGAATCAAATTCAGCTCATTAGGCTTGGCAGCCAGCACCTGTACCTGCTGAGCATCTCACCAGCTCCTATGTATGTTTTCATATGATGTTTAAAAGGCCTAGATTTCACACTGAGATAGATGGATAGATAATAGATGATAATTAGATAGATGAGAGAGAGAGATAAAGAGATATGATAGATTATAGACAATTGGATAGATTGTAAAGTGATATAGAAAAGATAAGTAGATAGGTAATAGATGATAGCTGGCTAGCTAGATGATTGACTGATAGAGAGATAGATGATAGATAGATACATAGATAGATACATAGATAGATAGATAGATAGATAGATAGATAGATAGATAGATAGACGACAGGTGGATGACAGGACACACACATATAGTTGTTTAACTTTTTAGCGATAATTAGTCTTTTTCTGTCTTTTCCTTTTTGTCTCCTTCTTTTCTTTGTCTTTATAAGTCAATTCACTTTTACTTTCCAAAGTTGAATAGAGGCTTTCTTTCCCTAAATCATGATATAAATTTCTACATTCAAATCATTGATCAAATTATTTATTTTTATAAACTACTCCCTATTAAAATGTGTTTATCACATGAATACCAAATAGTAAAATATTAGTGTTTTAATACAATATTTATTGCCAACTCAAAGAATCAAAAGTGGAGGCAAAACAGTAGGTGCCAGTGGCCATTATAGTATTTTATTGTCATGTGATCTACTTCTGCCTGAGACAAAGAAGCACAAGGCCTTGGCAGTAAGGGACATCATTTCTGAATTCATGAGAGAGTTTCAGAAAACTTCAAGAGAGGCTAGAAATGAAGTCTAGTTCTGTGCTCAGTAGGCAAAGGGTAATAGATGTGGTGGATGACCATATTGTCTCTGCTGCACTTCACTAGAGAATAAAGACCTCAGCTACCTTACTGTTACTGGAGTTTTCTTTCCAGTGTAGTCCCACAGCCATTTAGCTCCAAAGAAACACAAAGCCTTATATTAATTATAAAACTTTTGACCAATGGTTAGGGCTTCTTATTGGCTACATCTGTCTTAATTATGCATTTCCACGTGGTCTTGGTTTACCGAAGAGTGACTGGACCTATTACTCCTTTGGCTGCTACATGGCATCTCTTCACAGCACCTCTCTGCCTCTCCTCACCATTCTCCCCATCTCCAAGCCCCACCTATCTTCCTGCCTCTATTGGCTATTTGCCAAACTGTATTTTATTCATCAACCAATAAGAGAAACATATATACAGAAGGGCATCCCCCATCATCTTACCACCTTTATTCAAAATGTCTTAAAAAGTAAGTTAAGTGAATATAAAAAAGTATGGTTTCATGAGTACCACACAAAACTTTCCAAAATTATGAGAGGTAGAGAATAATCTTATTTCCAGCATGTTGCTTTTTCACTTCTACAGTGCTTGAAACACTCATTACCATCATGCATCCCATCTTGTCCCCTTTATCTAGATGTAACACTAAGTCTCATGTGCACAGCTATCATCCACAATGTTTCTTTAAATTCATGGAAAACATGAATTTCTCTATTTTGTTCCAGTCCAGATGAACAGGGTGTAAACATTCTTATGGTGCTCATGTTTCGATACCCATCTACTGATAGTGCTGAACGAATCAAGAAAAAAATTGAAAAGACGTTATATCAAAGTCTGAAGATCAAACAGTTGCCTTTGACTATAAATAAACCATCATTTAGCCTCACATGTAAGTATTTTGTTGTTGTTTGCTGTTTCTCCAGTTCTCTTTGACTATAATCTCTTGCATTTGTCATAAGAATTTGGTTCATGTGTCTTCCCATTTTACAAACTCACCACTAAGAAATCTATCAATGACTCAGTATTTAAGAACACTTCTCTTCTTGCGAAGGACCCAGGTTCAGTTCCCAGTGTCCACATGACAGTTCACAGTTATCTGTAAGCCAAGTTCCAAGGTAGTTGGCACCTTTCTGACATCCTCGGGCTCCTATATGTACATGGTACATGAATTCATGCATGTGAATGCTCATACATGAGTGTGTGCTCTCTCACACACACTCAATAAATAAAAACATAACAGTGTGGAAGAAAACAAAAATAAAAATTCACTATGAGGTAAAATTTAGAATTATGCTTTTTTACATTTATGACAGGATTTTATTTCCTTTTTTATTAACTTATTTTTTTATTCCAATTTCAGTCCCCCTCCCTTCTCTCCTCCCACTCCCCCCCATTGCCCCCCACTTCACATCAGCTCCTCTGAGAGGGTAAGGCCTCTCTTAGGAAATCTACTAAGTCTGTCCCATCATCTCTTTGAGGCAAGACTAAGGCAGCTCTCTAACCCCACACCCCTGTGTCTAGGCTGGGCTAGGTATTCCTCCATATAGAATGGGTTCCACTAAGTTTGTGCATTAGAGTTAGATCTTGGACCCACTGCCAGTGGCATAATATATTGTCCCAGTCACACCATTGTCACCTATATTAAGGAAGTCTAGATGGGTCTTATGCAGGTTCCCTATTTGTCAGACCTGAGTCAGTGAAAGATCACTGACTCAAGTCAGCTGATTCTGCTGTTTCCCCATCATGGTCTTGACTCCTTTGTTTATGTTATTGCTACTCCATCATTTCAGTTGTACTCAGGGAGCTTGGCCCATTGGTTAGTTGTGGATTTCTGCATCTGCTTCTATCTGTTTTTGGAAGAGGGTTCTAGCTTCTCTAGGGTTGTGGATTTTAGGCTGGATATCTTTTGCTTAAGGTCTGGTATTGATACTTATGAGGGAGTACATACTACATTTGTCTTTCAGATTTTGGGTTACCTCACTCCGAATGTTTTTTTTTTTTTTACAAAGTTTCTAAATTTTTTAACCAAATGATATTGGATACTTTAAAATGCATCAAAAGGTAGGCCTTATTTTCAACATTTTATATGGGGAGCTTGACTTTAAACAAGGCCCTGAGACATGAGTCAGCAAAAAATAGAATTGAACAGAGATATTATGAACCTCAGAATCCTTTATGGGTTCATTTAGAGAGTATTTTTATAATATTTTCCCTTAGTTATGTGCATATGTGAGTGTGTCTGTCTGTCTGACTGAGTTTATGTGCATGTGTATGGAGATGCCATTGGAGACTTGAAGAGGATGTCTGATCCCTTGGTGGTGGAATTACTTGGTGGATGCTGAGATACCCCAAGTCCTCTGCAAGAAAATTAAGTCATCTTGACTACTGAGCCATCTCTATAGCCCCAAGAGTTACATTTTATGTCAAAGAAATAAACATGAAGAGTGATTCTGAAGTAAGGTAGACATAAATTACAAAGGTGTTCCCTAACTTATTTCTAATTTCAAAATAGTTTTCATTATTTCCATTACTACCCAAAGAAAAGAAGACATCAGGAAAGTCACAGTTTCCCCCCCAATCATAGAAGAAAATAAATTTCAAATAGTTTACAAAATTAAAATGAAAAGTACCTTAGAGCTAGTTAAAACCCAAACCTAGAGGGAATCTATTGTTAATACTCTGCCAAAATAAAATACTGTTTCAAATAACAGTCTTAGGTGGTGTTTTAAGATGCAAGGACTGGACTTGTCTCCTTTTCGTTTACCTCCTTAGTCCATCATCTACATCTCAGGGCAGCAGGCCTAACAGCTCCTTTGCTCATGAAATTTTAAGTTTAGTTACTTTTGGTTTCATATAAAAGAGGAAAGGGACATGCAGACCCTTCATGGACATCTTTAAGTCAATTTTTTCCATGTATTGCATATGTAGTTAGAAATAACAATGATCACAATATCACTACATATTATTTTTGATTGTTAAAACAGTTTGCTCCAAAAGAAAATAGGATGTATTCATCATTCTATAAAGAGAATTCTCAGAGCAAATCTTGACTGATAATATAGCTATTCCCAAGTCATAATCACATACTTAAATAAAAAAATAAAATATAAACCATCAAAGTTTACTGCATTGTTAAAGTTACAGAATTTCTTAAAGTTTTCAAAAACATTTTTGTCCTTGGTTATACACAATGACATTGTTATCAAACAGGCTATTTTGATACCAAAACAAGCATAGTCCTAGACATTGCTTGATAACAAATACTCATTTGCATCTATTTTCTTTTGTTCCATACACACCTTTCATTAAAAAAAAAATACCTCTGGGCTTTCTGGCTAAAGGAAAGCAAGAAAAGAGATACCTTAATGGAGGGAGCCACTATAGATTTAAAGAGAAATATGGCACTAGGGAAATGTCCAGAGAGCTACAAGGACAATTAAGAATCTAAGCAATAGTAGAGAGGCTACCTTAAATGTCCTTCCCCAATAATGAGGTTGATGACTACCTTATATACCATCCTAGAGCCTTCATCTAGTAGCTGATGGAAGCAGAAGCAGACACCCACAGCTAAACACTGAGCCAAACTCCTGGAATCCAGTTGCAGAGAGGGAAAAGTGATGAGCAAAGGGGTCAAGATCAGGCTAGAGAAACTCAAAGAAACTGCTGACCTGAACAAGGGGGAGCTCATGGATCCTGTACTGTTAGCTGGGAAACCAGCATAGGACCAACCAAGACCCCCTGAATGTGGGTGTTAGTTAGGAGTACTAAGCAGTCTATGGGGCCTCTGGTAGTAGATCAGTATTTATCTCTAGTATACAAATGGACTTTGGGAGCTCATTTCTCCATGGAGGTATACTCTCTCATATACAGGGAATGGCCTAGGCCCTACCCCAAATGATGTGACAGACTTTGATGATCCCCCATGGATGGCCTCACTCTCCCTGGGGAGTGAATGGGGGGTTGACAAGGGTGGTTGTACAGAGGCAAGGGAGGGCGGGAGGAATAGGGAACTTGGATTGATACATAAAATAAAATTGTTTCTAAATTAAATTTTAAAAAAATGTCTCTGGGAAATCCCTAGTAGGGATTGGGGCTTATATTCCTATTTGGACTTTCACAACAGAACAGAATGCTCCAAAGCATGTTGTTTGGCAAGGAGAGTTTTGAACTAAAGTAAATCTAAAGGACCTTTAAGGACAGTTCTTTCTGGATCTCACCCTCCCTACTTTCTTCTGCTCCAAGGCAAGCCATAGCAACTGAAATTCCTGTTTCCAAAGAAAGTACTGGGACTCTGACCCCATCCACCTTTCTGTGAAGAATGGGTCATAGAGGAATTCTCTAACCCTACTCAATAGTAGATCACAAGATTTTTGTAGTGGGGACCCTGTCTGGAGAAAGAGGAAAAGCTACTCAGACATGGAAAAGACTGATAAGACAGGGTTTGCTTGCTATCTTTCTGCAGTACAGAGCTGTGGGATTAGAGTCATGAGTGGATGGGGTCTTTAGACAGGTTATAAGTGAAGGAGCTTCATGGTCTTCTCACTGTCAAGTCACAAACTTGTTTGGCACTTCAATATGAGAGGGTCTCAGGAAGAAGTCAGAAAGGTCCATGGACAGAATTCCCAATTCTTGTTTGACTAGGACCTTGAAATTGGCCCCTAAGGGTCAGCCTTCATGACTGACCATTGGGAACATGGCCAATGAACATTGAGTGGCAATACAAGTTGTGATGGAAATAGGAGACCACATCTTCAACTTTGGCTATTTATCCTTTGAACATTTATCCTTGCTTCTTCATTCTGAATAGTTTTACTTGTTTATAAAAGAAAAATCATAAAATAAGATCCTCTGAGTTTATTTTCAAACAAAGTTCTATTATTTGAATCAATGATTGAATCAGAGGATTGTTGTATATTACTTGGTTATGAAAACTACAATATCTTTCTGAATTATGGATACTTCAAATAATTAGCAATACTGTTCATGAACATGTGAACAAAATATGAGAGGAAAGGGACTGTGATATTATGTCAGCTAACTTCTATTCTTTTGTTACAGCTATTGACAGCAGAAAGATGAGAAATCTTCTCAATAGTCGTAAGTTCCAAAATCCACAATTAACTGTATGTTTCTTAGTAAAGAGAATAGATGAGAATAAAAAAAAAATGTTAGTACAAATGAAACTATTTTCCACTTCTTTTTATACTTTCATAAATCAAATACTTAGTCTTTCATTTTTCTTTTTAATGTTTCATATATTAGTATTGATTTTATTCTATGTAATAGAATAATATAATATTTTAGATGTTTATATTCTTAAAATATTTAATATGCTTTCATAATTCAAGAAATGAGCAAATTGAAGTTTTTATTTTTACTTTTTAATTTTTAAAAAAAAGTTTAATTAAGGTTTTCTCCCTTCTTCATCCTATCACACCTGAATATATTTTGAGTTTTGTAGACAATTTTGTGCCCATTATCAAAGTTGCCACTTGCAAGTCTTTTTAAAGGCTGACTTGAAGTTTGATTAGTTGAAGATTTGATATCAGGGATTAAGAATTTTTCTAAACTACTCTTACATTTTTGAAAATGAAAAATAGTATTTAAAATTTGTAAAATACATCAAAAATAATAAATTGATTCTTGTAGTCACATGAAGGATAAATCATGACCTATATTCAGTGTTGGGCTGTCTCTCAACAGTAAAATACTGTTGCCTTGAATGTGGAATCTCCTAATGTTATATTCCATGCTGTCACTCGCCAGCTAGATGTTGTATAGCAATTTGTATTCCCCTTCAAGGCTGGGTTTTCTCATGTAAAAAGATTTTATATATGTGTGTAATATATATATTAATATAATATATAATATATTATTATATTATATATATTAATGTTATAATTTCAAAGAATATCTAGACATTGTTGATGTTCAGTAATAACCTATGCATGGATAAAAATAAATGATGAAATGACTCTAGGGTGGTAAATAAAGCAAAAATCCATTTTCTGTACTTTAATTACATACTACTATGGGTAGGTTACCACAAAGATATCTCACATCAGGAACTCACTCCACCATAGAGAATGCTTTCTCCAGACTAATTATATCTTAACAGTTATGAAGCATACCTGAATGGTCAATTTACCATTTATTTCTTGACTTGGACATTACAAGAGACTTGCAAAATTTAAGATCACTGAGGTTCTTATTTGTTTCTGATCTGATAACTTGCCCCAACCCATTTACTCATATTATGAATATATATTATTTGTTTGTGAGAGACTTACTGTGTAAGCCCAGCTAGTCAAAAACTGACAAAATTCCTTTATAGCATCTCAAATTCTGGGATTACAAATATGTGCCAATATGTTTCATAGAGAGAGACAAAAGTTGATTTTTGAACTAAACGCCTAAGCATATTGGTAAACATTTCTTCTTAACCTCAGGGTAATAAATACAATAAACACAGAGATAGACACACACAGATCAAGCCAGTGGCTGACAGCTAAGAATGTGTTAAAGAATCATTGAGGCAAAGGATTTTTTTTAGTACCTTATGTAAATACAAGTAAGTCATGATACTTTCCTCTACTGTCAAAAGAACAAACTACTATGTGTTTCATTGTTAGGATGCGGGATAAGGATGGCATCTTCAAACATGCCATTACCAGCATCCTCTACTACTGAGAGAATTGTTCAGGGAAGAGAAACAGCTATGGAAGGGGAGTGGCCATGGCAGGCCAGCCTACAGCTCATAGGGGCTGGCCATCAGTGTGGAGCCACACTCATCAGCAACACATGGCTGCTCACAGCGGCTCACTGCTTCTGGAAGTAAGTTCACCAAGTTGTGGAAGATTTTGTTTCCTAGCCCCCTCTTACCATTGATTTATTACAAGGGAGCAGCTCATTCTCACCACATGTCCTCTGGTATGCACTTTCTGTGCTCTCTACATACTGACTACATTCATATCATTGACATTCTAGTGCTCTTTACTATACCACTACAGGGTTATTCACCATGAAGACTGTTATTCTTGAGTTCTACATACTCAAGGAGAAAAGTTAACCATCTCTGTTCTGCTCTGTGACTACTTCCCACTGTCAATATTCAGTATTATTTGATTACAAAGGGAGAAAAGGCTTCAGAATCTATTTTGAAGCACCCCGTTCTCACTGCAATATACAGGAAACCCCATGGGACTCTATCACTCAGAAGATGTATAGAGAGTAGCAGAGACCTACCTTGTTACTCTGCTCTCATAGCATGTTATTTTGGTCATGTGTAGCAGAGTCATATCTCAGCTTGACTTTCATGTTGTTGCTCCCAAAACTCAGACATACTTACAATCTCTAGAGTACGTGGAAATTGAAGAAGCACTTAATCTTTTCTCCCTTGAGGATTACCATCAGCACACAGAGAGAAAATCAAAGACAGGAGGGGCTCTTCTTGCATGGTGACCCTGTCTATGTATCCTCCTGAAGCAACTTTTCCATGGGGCTTCCAAAAGGCTTTTCCCCCCCATTCTTTTAAGGGTACAGACAAAATGATTCCAAGATGCTTATTTAGTCTCTATGCAGACAAGGTGTAATGAGACTGACATAATGAATTTAAAGTTATCTATTACTCCTTCAATGAAGAGTCTCACTAATGCATGTCTATGAATCCCAAAGCAACTAGTACCATGTTTTTGTGATGAACAAACATAACTCACACTTACTTGTTAAGACTTCATGACAGATTTAGTTCTTTATAGTCTCCCAATATTTGGTTTTATGTTTTTTTTGTTTGTTTGTATTTATTTTATATAACCAAGTCCATTTAAATGAAAACAAACATTTATAGACAATATTTGGGAATTTGAGCATTGTTCTTTCCAAACTACTTCCTGCTGGAAAGGGGCGCTGTCATGGGGGATTCAAAGAAGATTCAGAAATCCTGGCTGTAGTCTGTCAGGCTGCTTTGTCCAGCTGTTTTGAATGTAGGTTTTAATGTTTTTTAAAAGTGTTTATACAAAATAAAATACAACCAAAGCATAAGCTTAATATTAGTAATGAATGCAAATGCTCCCTTCAATGAGTCTAGTGCAATTTCTGGAGATGGACAGACCTACATAGGAACCAAATGTTGGAGCTGATAGTAAAGATTACTATTGGCTAATTGTTCATAGTGTGATAAGAATGGAAGTGAAGGAACAAGTACAGTAACTTCAAAAATTAAAGGAGTGTTTACATGAAGGATGGCAAAGACTTTTGGAAGTTAATGGCAATTATGACGTCAAAGAAAGATATTTAATATGGCAAATATAGAAAATTGATATTGATATAAGTATTTTAAAGAGCTGGATAAGGCGATGATCATGAAGAAAAGGGACTATATTTCCAGAGTGCCATAATTCATCTAATTGGATATTTGAAATACTATTTGAGAGGGAATAAAGGTATCTTATGAAGATAATATAGAAGTTAACCAAACAGCCTTCCTATTTTAATAAATACATTTTTCTGTAAAAATAGAATATTTAAAAATGGTGTTTAAGTACAAATCCAACACTTCATGGCCATGAACGTTTACTCTGTGAGTCAGGAAAAGGTTTTGACAAGATATAGGAAGACAAGATATAACGAGGCCTGAGTATCTCTTAGTCACCTTATTCACAAAGTAGGGTGTTTGGGCTATTGTTAGTCTTGGATGGTGCACAAAGGGATAGCCATCCCATTTTGTCATCTCGAATTGTTTGTATCTCCTTAACTCCTGGAGTCGTGTTAGTCATTGTCTCCCCTAGAATTCTAGTAGTGAATGTCTAGGTAGCAAATGAAGGTTCCAGTCCTGTATGTCCACATTGAACAAAATTTCCATTAATAATCAAATAAACCAACAGGTGGGGAGAAGAACTCTCTTCCTGCTCCTGGCTCTGTTTGATCACCACTAGCAGTCTAGTGCATGTTGGAACTGCATAGCTTTTTACTACTCTTAAAAGTTGATGTTTCAGGGAAGGGGGAGTGATGTAATTATATTAAAATCTCAAAATAAAAAGAAATACTTTTTCTAAAACAAGAAAGGAAGGAAGGAAGGAAGAAAAGAAGGAAAGAAGAAAGGGAGGAAAGAGGGAGGGAGGGAAGAAAGGAGGAAGGAAGGAAGGAAGGAAGGAAGGAAGGAAGGAAGGAAGGACTGACTTTGATTTTGGAGCAGGCTGGAGGGGTAGCTCCGGAGTTAAGAAGACATTCTACTCTCAAAGAGGACCCAAGTTCCTTTCCCAGCAGTGAGGTATATTAAGTGAGGTAACAACTGCCTATAACCCCAAGCTCCAGCAGATCAGATAGATGCCTCTTGCCTCTACTGACAGCTGTATTCATGCACACATAGCTTCACACAGGGGAATACAAACAAAAGTCTTTTTTAAAAGAAAAAAGAGTTGATGATTCATCAACTTGACAGTCCCTTATAAATGAGGAAATCCCTCTTTTAAGTTCTTCTCTGTGATTTCCTTCTACCCAATTTCCCTTTACCCAGACCACTTCTGGTTTCTGTATATGTTTAATCATTCGTGGTGTGAATAATTCTAAAAGGATTGAAATGAACTTTGGAGAAGAATTATGGAGGTAAGAGTTGATTGGGCTGGATGGAATTTGTGACATAACCCTGGGAAAATAAGCATCTATATGAAGGAAGAGTTGGTAATCAGGGGACTGAACAGACTACAGCAAAGAACTGTGTGAGACTGGCTTCCAGGAAGGGCAGCTTAGCCCTTGAACGTCAGGAAGGGGTGTGGGTATGGGTGGAGAAATGACTTTGCACGTATGAGGAATTGCATAGCAGACACATTCCACTTAGCCTCAAAGATCACAGTAAACAAGAGCCAACAAGTAAGTTGTCAAATAAGGATAGGCATTTGGTAGAGAGGGAACTTGCTTACTAAAATATTCATTATCTAGAATAAAAGGAATTAGTTTCTGCACAATTCATTGAAATAATGAATGAGAACCCAAAGAACTCTAATAAGGCACACATGTAAATTTTGGAAGTTGATAATTAATAAATTACCTACAATTATTTGGTTTAGCCATAGGAAACTTCTTTTTCATAGTGCCATCAACTGTCAATTCTCTCACCACAGGAACTTTTCAAGAGCTTAATTCTAAAAGTTGAGCACAAGTATGATTTTGACCTTTTTATTAAAACTACACAGTGGAAACCACAAATATTATCCTTTAATTTTCTGTAGAAACAGAGACCCAAGTAAATGGATTGCTACTTTTGGTACAACTATAACACCACCTGCAGTGAAGCGAAATGTTGGAAAGATTATTATCCATGAAGATTACCACAGAGAAAGCAATGAAAATGACATTGCTCTAGCCCAGCTCACGACCCGAGTAGAGTTTTCAAATGTGGTCCAGAGAGTCTGCCTCCCAGACTCATCTATGAAACTGCCACCCAAAACAAGTGTGTTTGTCACAGGATTTGGATCTATTGTAGATGATGGTGAGTAGTTCCATCCTATTTTCTGTGATACAAAGTATTTTCATGGGAAGTTCCTCCTTAAACTGCTGACCTGAACAAGGGGGAGCTCATGCACCCCAGTCTGATAGCTGGGACAGACCCAGATTCTCTGAATGTGGTGTTAGTTAGGAGGTCTGGGCAGTCTAAGGGGCCTCTGGTACTAGATCAGTATTGATTCCTAGTATAGGAATGGACTTTGGGAACCCACTCCCCATAGAGAGATACTCTTTCAGCCTAGACACATGGGAGCCCTGCTCCAAATGATATGACAGACTTTGAAGGTCTGCCATGGAAGGCTTCACCCTCCCTGGGGAGCAGAAAGGGAATGGGATGGGAGTTGGTAGGGGGAACAGAGGCAGATGGGAGGGTGTGGGAACTGGTATTGATATGTAAAACAAGCTTGTTTCAAATTTAAATAAAAAGTTATATTAAAAGTATTTTCATAAAAATAATGGTGCAGGGGCTGGGACTCAGTTGGCAAAGTGTTGTGGAAGAATGAGTTAGGGTTCACAGCACCCACATGGAAGCCATGCAGCATCCTCCATTCTTAGCCCTTATTACCATTCTGCCATCAGATAGCTGGAGCAAGTTGGTCATCCATTTTACTTTCCATGTTATGAAATGCCTTAAACAACACACTATCAGTGGTACCAGTGAGAAAGCTTTTCTGCATTGTGTCCTGGTTCCTACTTTAATATTAGCTGAAAAAAAGAAAAAACTGAATTTATTTATCATGCAACTTAGACTAGATCAGTGTGGTTGATCTCTGGGATCATCCAGTGAAGACTGCAGAATGTGTTCTCATGAAAAATCTTGTATGTATATAATATCTGTATATAGTTTTATTTATTTATTTTTCTTATTTTACATATCAATCCCAGTTCCCTCTCCCTCCCTCCCTCTCTCACTCCCTCCCATGTCCCGTGACCATCCTCCCATCCCATTCCCCCCCCCTACTCCACAGGGAGGATGCCTTGACAGGATCACTAATATGATACAGTTATGAGGCTTGTATGTTTGATTTCTTTCATGTAGACACTAAAAGTAGAGAAATTACAATTTTGCAAAAACAAATATTTCTAAAATACTTTGTGCTTTGGCTCCTTGGAATACACTTTTAGTCTGTAGCAGAGATACAATAATATTTGAAAAGTACATCATTCCTTTGTTTGTTTGTGTGTATGTAATAGGACCTACACAAAATAAACTTCGGCAAGCTAGGGTGGAAACCATAGGCAGTGATGTGTGTAACAGAAAGGATGTGTATGATGGCCTAATAACTCCAGGGATGTTGTGCGCTGGATTCATGGAAGGAAAAGTAGATGCATGTAAGGTAAGTTGAAAGTTGAAGTCAATCCTTCAGAAGATTCTAAAGTTCCTGTTAGCTATTTCTGAGATTAGCATATACTAATAGAACAACCATCCTGAGTGTTTAATGTGCACAAACCCAAAGGAAAGCACCTTTAGTGCAGTGTTTTATTTTTATTTTATTCTATTGTTGTTTGTATTTATTATATTACTATTTATATTCATTGTAGCAAGATATATATATATATATATATATATATATATATATATATAGCACTCTGTAATTTTCTCCATTTACACATTAAGGAATAAAAATCAACTATCTCTCTATTGGTCCACACAATTACTTTATGCTTCATTATTTTTTTTCCTTCTATTTTGGTGGGAGATGGGAGTGAGAGATTGAGACTCAGAATCTCATATAGTAGTACAGGTTGGCCTCAAATTTACTATATAGCTGAGGATGACCTTGAACACTTGACACTCTTTTCTCTACCACCCAAGTTCTGGGGTTGTAAGAGTACACCACCATGCTTGACTTCCATTGTTATTTTCTTAAAGTCAAGTCCCAAAGACAGAGAACCACTCCTCTGAATGAGTTGTTTTCTTAGAATCTCTCATCCAACAGCTAGAAGGAAGCTTTCCCTTGGCAGGCTTTGGGGGGTTTGTTAGAATACTATAGGGCTCTTGGAGGAACATTTCCACCCCATGTAGTGAACTCCATTATGTGTGGGCAAGCATGCATATGTGTCATGTATGTGCATATGCATGCTTATAGGTGAGCTTATAAAAGATTGTATTCTAAAATAATGTATTTTCCTGTGGCTTTTCAAACATCTTTAGAGTTATTTACCCCTCCTTCCTGCCTCTCCCTCTGTATTATCTTCCTTACCCTCTCTCCTTTTAAGTCCTTCCTCTCCATTTCCCAATCTCCTCCTTGATAACACCTATATGCCCTACCATCTTCTTCAGAGTTAGATTGTTCAACTTCCTTCAACTTCCACCTCCACTTTCTATTTCCCTGGCTTCTGAGGTTACTTCAGGTTATATACACAAATCTAAAGAATCATAGCTAAGATCCACAAATAAGAGAACATGTGGTGTTTTCCTTTCTGAGTTCCAGTTCCATCCACCGCATGATTCTATGTTTCTTTATTGCTGAATAGAATTCTGTTATACTGCATTCTTATTACCCACTAGTCAGTGGAAAGTTGTCTATATGTTTCTTTCTTCTAGCTATTGTGAATAGAGCAGTGAAAAGAACAACAATGCCTTTTTCTTGTCGTTTTGCTAGCATATATCTTTTTATGATAAAATAGCTGGAAGAGTGTATGCGGGAGGTTAGAAACATGGCTTAGTGGTTAAGAGTGCCTTGGCTTTTCTTGAAGACCTTATTTTCAATCTCAGTGCTCATCTCAGGCTGCCCACCTCAGGCTGCCCACAAACCACCAGTAGCTCCAACTCCAGTGGATCCATTGCCTTCTTCTGGGCTCTACAGGCACCTGCACATGTGTGCCATTCACACACACACACACACACACACACACACACACACACACTACACACTACACACTACACACATACAAATAAATCTTTTTGTAAGATGAATAAATGAAAGAATGAGGTAAAAGAAGCAGAGAAAGTTAAAATATTTTGTAGGCAGAGTTTTCCTGTCCCACAGCTACTCTCACATACTCACTCAGAGGTTTAATATTAATTACAAATGCTCGGCAAATGGCTCTGGCTTATTACTAACTAGCTCTTACAACTTAACCCATATTTCTTAACTGTTTCTGCCTCATGGTTTGTTACCTTATTTTCTATACATCCTGCTTCCTCTGCATCTTCTGTCATCTGTTCTAGTCCACCCTCCTTCATCCCATCACTCTCAGTTTGGCTTTCCTGACTAACTTTATGCGGTTCAGCTACTGTTCACTCAGCTTCTTTATTAAACCAATCACAACAACAAATCTTTACATTCAGAGGGCCTAGATAGGTCCTATGAGGGTTCCCCAGCTATGAGTCCAGAGTCAGGGAGCTCCCACTAGCTCAGGTCAGTGTTTTCTGTGGGTTTTCCAATCACGGCCTTGACTCCTTTGCTATATAATCTCTCCTCCCTTTTTTTCTACTGGACTCTGGGAACTCAGCCTAGTGAATTAGTGGTTCTCTATATGACCCTTCTATGGCTTGGGCAGTTTGTGGGGCCATGAGCAATGGGACTAGAATTTATCCCTAGTGCATAGACTGACTTTTTGGAGCCTATTTTCTCTGGAACTCAGCCTCGATACAGGGAGAGAGGGGTCTGGTTCTGCCTCAACTTGATATACCAGACTTTGTTGACTCCCCATGGGATATATACTGGGGGGCTTGGGTGGGTGGAAGGAAGAGGAGGAGCAGAAGGAGAGAGGGGAAACTGTGCTTGGTATGTAAATAAATATTTAAAAGGATTTTTCACATAGAGCATAATTACCAGAACTAGGCCTGAAACTGAGTCATTTCAACATCCAAGAACATATATTTAATTTATATAAGTGTACCTGTCTATGCCATCTCTCTCACTACATTAAAGAGATAAAGGAGCTTTTATAATTCATTTAAGAAAATAAAAATCAGAAGTAGATTAATTAAAAAAGAAGATCAAAAGCTGAGCAATAAAATATAGTCAAGCCAATAGTATTCATAAGTGACTTTAACATTTCTCTTTACTACAAAATAATAGTCTCATATTTAACATTTTATATGCATAGACTGTTTTCTAATCACAAGTATATATGCAGAACATGTCTAACAAAATAAATTTAAAAATACGAGGGTGATAAGCCATAAATAATGCAACCATTACATAGGAATGATTAATGGTCTTTCTACTAAAAAAAAAAATGCACTTTTAGGCTGAGAATAGAATTTTAACTCATTTGAAAGATGCATAAAATCTATTCACAGTCTGTCTCTGTGGTCCATATAATAACTTTTTTCTTCTTCTGTTTCTTTTTTGGGGACAAGGTCTGTGGAAAAGAGATGATTGTTAAGATCTTGAACTGACCATTTGTTTCTATTCCAGGGTGATTCTGGGGGACCTCTGGTTTATGACAATCGGGACATTTGGTACATCGTGGGAATTGTAAGTTGGGGGCAATCATGTGCTCTTCCAAACAAGCCTGGAGTCTACACAAGAGTTACTAAGTATCGAGACTGGATAACCTCCAAGACTGGCATCTAAAGTGGACTCCTGTGAGTTATAGCCATGGTGCACAGAACAAGATACTTAAAGATTGTGTATTATCACTTAGAGTTGTGAGTTATAGTCACGGCCCAAGAAGCAGGATGCTTGCAGATTGTATATTATCACTTAAGGTCGTGAGTTTATAGTCACAGCACACAGAGCAGGATGCCTGCAGATTGTACATTATTACTTAGAGTCATGGGGATCAAATCAATGCTTCTGCCAGATATCAAGGAACTCATCACACCAAGTCCAACTTAATATCATGAAATGGCTTTTGTGTACATAAACTCTCTACCAAGAAGAAGGAAGACATGGCTAATGACAGGTAGCATGAATGCCTCACTCATAAGAGTGACTCCTCAATGTGACAAACACTTGCAAATGGTTTCCCTCAGGACATAAGCGCTGCCAGGCTGCTACAACCTTACCTCATATGATCCATAGAGTGCCAGGACTCATCTTGAAAACATCAGTGTCTTCCCTAGGGATTCAAGATACCCACATTCTAGAACTTATAACAGGACATTCAATTGCTAGAATGAAGGAGCATGGAACCTGCGGTAAAACTTGAACTCCTCTAACCAAGGTTTGCACCTGACCAAGTGTTGCACTCACCCACAGGAACTGTCATTATTTAAATGCATATCAACTTGCCATAACACCATAAAATGTCCTCAAGCACAAGCTTCAGGAAGCATTTTATGTCGTTAAGAAGCATTTCTGGCTTACTCTTTAGCAGTATCTTGCCATCCACATATCAATTGTAATCAGCCCAGAATAGAGAAAATAAACCTACAATAAAGATTTTTTTTCAGTAGTATTAGAAGGATAAAAGGAAGTATATGAAAGCAGAATCAGCTTTAAAATGTTTAGTAGCAGGGCACACTAAACTTTTGATGGTATGTGTTGTACAAATACTTATTTAGAAATATCAATATGAGCATATGGTTACCAATGCTTTTGTAAATCATCACTCATTATCAAGTCATATATCTATCAAAATGTCAGATGGGGAGAGCATTATGCAAACAGGATAATGCTTATATTCTGACCACTAAATAATAGTAAGTGAATTCCCCAACAAAGTGGCTTAACTACAGTCAAAGCCTACTGGTGGATATAGTGTTAGTGATTGAGCTAGTATCATGAACTTTGTCTCTGCCATATGAAAAGTATACTATTTTATGCAAATGACCCAATACCTCTCTATTAATGAGCTCTTTCATCTGTATAGTGTGGCTAAAATACTACCTCATTGGGTGTTTTTTGAGAATTACATGTATTAATACAAGTAAAGTATTTGCAATAGCAACGTCACACAAGAAGTTCTCAGGATGAATAAGCTACTGTCAATATTAATGTTCTTTGGATTTTTAAAAACACACTATTTATATTTTCAAATGTCCCAACTTCTTCAAAAAATGCAAATGATTTCAAAATACCTTAAATTACATTGTTAAAAAATCAGATGAAGCATCAGATTTTCAAAATAGCTTTTATGTTGTTTCTTGGGTTTATTTTGAACTGTATCTTTAGTAGACAGGGTATCATAGGGTGATGATTGCCATGCTTAGAACTACAGACATGCATCTGTATTCATCTCCAGCCCTCCATGTGAGACCTGTGTGTGTGTTACTCTGACTTTAGCAGACAGAAACTATGGCATAGCCATCCTTTAATGGTTAAAAGTTTTGTTGGTGGTTCAGTTTACTTGTAACTGTGTTTAAATGTAACATGTATAGCCAAGACAAACAACTTTCAAAGCCTTTGAGTTGCTCTAACTTACATCTCAATGAGTTACAAGTACTGGAAAGTCAGGCCTTATAAGCTGATGGTTAGTGACAACATCAGAAAATGCAGAGTAGAAGCTTAAAGATGGGCTTGATTGCTGTTGATTTTTTTTCTTTTAATTTAACATAAACTCCTCTTAGATATGTGAAAGCAAATTTGTCTACCAAAACACCCTCATTTTTTCCTTTGTAAATTCTATAACAATGGATTCATTGTGTGTAATTTTATTTATATTTCATAAGACTGTGATGAATTTTTGTGTATAAATGTCTGTGAAACTATGTATACTGATTTAAATATTTCCATGGTTAGTCAGACTCAATTAAATGATAACACAAATAAGAGGAATAAATATGAAAAGCCATATGAATTCTAAAAAACAAAAAATAGAAAGTGTATTTTTTTTATAACAGTGTTGTATGTTCTGTTTCAAGTTTGATATTTGACCTGTTGGTTGAATGTCAAAGAAGTCAAAAGATTTTACACTTCATGCTTTCTATCCGACACATGGGTTACTAAGCTGTCTACTTCATGGCATCACTGTGAGGCATTATTGATAAATAATGAAGTTGAAAAGTTGGAGAACATGTAAAATCTCAAACGTGTAAAATATATTATTGCTAAAAGACATCAGTATAGATGATATAGAAAATGCATTACTATTATAAAGAAGTGTTTGCTCTTTGCAATGTTGAGTTTTTATTGCTTTGTTTATTTGGAAACATAAAAATGGTTAACAACACACAAGTAAATAATCTTGCCTCCTGTGTATTGACACTATAGTAATTTTTAGCATGTTTTTAATTGAAAAAACAAAAGCATGGTAGGGCTAAAAGAGAGAACAAATCAATTAGACTTATAGAAAATGCAATAACCCCACAAAACAGAATCTTAATGAAACTTTGGTTTCTAACTAAAGGGTTAATTATTATGATTGAGAAAGAGTAAGCCAAAAGTTTTGGTAATAGTCAACCATGGCTCTAATGTCTTCATGAATCACTAACAATACACTATTAAAATATATATACCCTTTCAAATAAATAAACTTCTGATGAATTATTGATAGCAAGAGTATATATGCACACTCATTCATGCAGTCATGGAAATGAAGATAAACTTCTAACAAATCATTGAAATTGATTGGGTCATAACTTTTGAAGCTGAGGGAAGTATAAAAGATTCTCTGTATCAAACTGTCCTTTGAATGCTGATACCAAGACTAAATAGATATACAAGTTTATAGAATGAGCCATACCTTGCAGAAGAATTGAGTCCATTTGGATCTGAGTCATGCAAATTAGAGAGGTGGGGACATTGCAGCCTTAGCAACCACTGCAAATCACTGCTTCTCCTGGCAAAAATAAATGTGAGGAAAGCTAAATTCACACTGTGTTCCACACCTTGTATATACCATATACATATACACATGTGTGGTGTGTGTGTGAGTGTACTCATATGAGTGAGTGTGCATGCATATGGCTGTTTGTGTGTGTACAAAAAATGTGTGCTCGTGTGCGTGTATGTGTGTGTGAGAGAGAAAGAGAGAGAGAAAGACACACACACAGAGAGAGAGAGAGACAGAGAGAGAGAGAGAGAGAGAGAGAGAGAGAGAGAGAGAGAGAGAGAGAGGATATGCACATGTGTGGTTTTTGATCTTATTTTTTAATACTTCACATACATGACCCCTCTCAGATGATTGGTTCTTTCTTACTAAGTGTAATTCTGTTAAACTTTGAACTGAAAGTTTCCATATACTTATATAGTTTTGTAACAATCTATGCTACATACTAATATAAAAATGTGTTTAGGGCCCATGATTCTAATCCACAATTGCCTTGCCTCTGTTCTTCCAACTTTTCTTTATCAGTTCTGTCATTTGTGAGATACTGGTCACCAAACTCAAAGCAGACTTCATCACCCAACCACTTCACTGTGGTTAATTTTCAATATCCAAGGGGATGACCCACAACTACCCTCAATTCTTTGAACTTGTAAATATAAATAACCTTAATGTTTAATCTTGAATATACTCTATGAATCCAATTTTCTAATTTTTTAAATCTCTCAAAGTTGTCACAATATCACAGTATATTTGCCTCCTAAAGACTACACTTCCATCCATTCAATCTGTTGGAATTTTCTATCAATGGTATAAATGTTTCCTATCATTATCATAATTTGTCTTTAGCTTGTATCCTAAACCAATCTCACAAACTCTTAGGCACAAATCCTAGAACTCAGTAGCTTTACTCTTAAAGACAGAAGTCAGAACAACAGAGAAAAAATTTCCAAACATATATATTTAAAACAATACAATTTTGGCAATGTGATCAGAAGTGTTGTACTTTGGACACAGTACAGTATGTTAGAAGTAATTCTATTTAGAATAACACTGCTTCTAAAGAAAAATTGAGCTCATCTAGACCCTGGACTGTAGAATAAAAATGTGATAAACATTTATTATTTTAACAATTATATTTATATAACTTGTTATACAGCAATATAAAATTGATAACATTCTGAAATTTCTGTGTCTCAGGTGGTTTGAACATTTGCCTCTATGTTCACTTACTAACTATTTTAACAATTAAGTTCTATAACATGTTACATAGCAATATACAATTGTTGATATTCTGAAATTTTTACATCTCAGACAGTTTGAAAAACTGCCTCTATGTTTAGTACTAATTTGTATTCCAGTTTATTATAGTTACTTAATTTTCTTTCTACTGTTAAGAAAAGACACCATGACCAAGGAAACTTATAAAAGAAAGAGGATAATACCTAATCATTATGGCAGGGAGCACAGCAGCAGTAGGCAGACAAGCATGGTGCTGGAGCACATGTTGAGACAACAACTGAGAGAGAGAGAGAGAGAGAGAGAGGGACAGAGAGAGAGACAGAGAGAGAACTGCAATGAGTTTTTGAAACCTCTAAGTTCCCCTCTCAAAGCACACCTCTTCCAAAAGGCTATACCTCCTAATCATTCCTAAACATATGACCCTGTAGAAGACACTCTTAGCCAATCAATCAAAGTCTGATTTTTCCAAAATGAAAGAAGGCATAGGAAATAAATATGAGTGTTGAATACTATTGGCTGAAAAGAAGAGGTCGATGAATATTGAATGCCTTGGTGCTCATATAGGCTCTGCTTAGTCCATTGAACTACATCACAGTTTTAATCTTCTGAGCTTTGTTATCAGAGTGAGCCTAGAAATCTGAAAACATACAAAACTAACTCTAGATGTCTACTTGAGGAGGGAAAGGTTGTTTAGATAAGGCAGAACTGGGGAGACTAGTGATGACTATCCTAGAGAAAGGTCAGGTTTCCAGAGTTCCTAAATTCCATGGGACCAGCTCTAATCAGATCACTCTGACAGTCAGTGAGTAGACTGTAACAATGAAAAAGGAAGAGATATTTTCCAAATGTAGGAAAAAGAGTCACTGGGAGACACAGAATGGTATCAGAGAGATGAAAATGTTGCTATATCAAACAAAGTGCATCCTGATATGGCTAAAAGTTATTGGACCCAGAAAAACAACAACAACAATAATAACAACAACAAAACAAAACAAAAAAACAAAAGAAATAGTTGATGAGAACTGAGAACGTTACAGTGGTTGTGAGTTCAAGGTAAATCTCAGGGTTTTTGTGTTTGTTTGTTTTTTCTACGTAAGAGCATCTCTTTTGAAATGTCCAGAGATCTACAAGGATGAGCCCCAACTAACAATTTAAGCAATAGGGAAGAGGTTATCTTAAATGACTTTCTCCAATAATGATACTGATGAGTACCTTATATACCATCCTAGGGCCTTTACCCCATAGCTGATGGGAGCAGGAGCAGACACCCACAGCTAAACACTGAGCCAATCTCCTGGAATCCAGTTGTAGAGAGGGAGGAATGATGAACGGTCAAAACCAGGCTGGAGAAACCCACAGAAACTGCTGACCTGAACAAGCCCAGACTGATAGCTGGGAAACCAGCATAGGACCGACCCAGACCCCCTGAACACTGGTGTTAGTTAGGGGGACTGGGCAGTTTATGGGGCCTCTGGCAGGGGAACTAATATTTATTCCTAGTGTACAAATGGACTTTGGGAGCCCAGTCCCCATAGAGGGATACTCTCTCAGCCTAGACACATGGGGGAAGTGTCTAGGCCCTGCTCCAAATGATGTGACAGACTTTGAAAATCCCCCATGGAAAGCCTCACCTTCCTTGAGGAGCAGAAAAAGAATGGGAATAGAGGGGTCAGTGGGGGAAAAGGGAGAAGGGGAGGGAGAGGGAACTGGGATTGACATGTAAAACAGGATTGTTTCTAATTTAAATTAAAGGAAACAATAAAAAAAGATAAGGAAAAAAGAGTATCTCTCTTTCGAATAGATACAAGAATACTGGACAAGATATAATGTACACATATGCTACTGTACTAAGAAAATCTTGTCAAGTATATCAAATGCTTCCTGAAAACTTTGTTTCAGGTGCCTCTGAAAGCAATGAATGGCTGAGCCAGAGACCAGACATTATTGACTCACAGGGACAGGACTGCCTCTTGAAAGACAAACAGAAAGCTTCCCCAAGAGTCAAGGGAGTTGCTTATGTTTGTCACTTGTTTCTCAATTAGGCAGAACAAGGAAATTCTTATTTCCTGTAACGAAGACTTTATCAAGTGATTCTTTCCCTGACCTCTAACCATACGTTTGGTTAGCATTTACCCGTCCCAACTTGTTAAACAAGTTTCTGTTAAATCTTCAAGTATTCTTAACCTTAGACAGCTTACACATCTTTGAGAGTATCAAGGATGCTATTCATTTGACAGGGATCAGACATTGAGCAGTGTGGATGTGGAGAAGCTGGCCTTCCTCACAGTGGCGATGTATCAGTAAGTTGGGTTTTGTTTCACATATGAAGGTTTTGTTTCATATTTGTGCTTCTAAGTGGAATTAAAATAATGATAAGATGTCTAATTCATTTTTCTATTGTAATATTATTATTCTCTATTTCAGAAAACCATGTTAATGACTTTATACTTAAGAACTGAGAATTCTAGTGTTGGATTAAATTACAGTTGAGTGCTGGATATGAATTAGAAAGTTTGTTTGAGAATTGAGATAATAATGTACAGCTCAGGGGAAGACAGAGAGCCTGAGGTGCACTGGTAAGCTTAAGGAATGAGGAAGGAAATATTTCTCACCTCCACCTACGAGTTCAAAAGATGTTATGCCCTTTGTATTCATTCTAAATGATGAACTAAGTTGATTTATGAAAAACAAAATGTCCATATGGAAACCACAGTGTCTTAGAGTCCACTCTGAACTTGATAAGAATAACTGAAACTCAAATTTATAAATCAGAATTTTAATGTTCTATTTTATTCTTACCTCTTGGTTCCACTTTCCCTTTTCATATCACCTATGTACTACTATTTTCTCTACCTTGAATTTCCTCATATAGCTCTTTTTTTTTACTTTTTCCACTTATTAATCATATACTTATTGTTGTACTCTTTGTAACAATAGCCTATGAAATTTTTAAAAATGCAAAAAGCTGCTCAATTAAAATATTGATAAATGTTTTGCTTGTTTAAAAAGTAGAAAACTACATCAGAAAATTTAAGTGTATGAGAAATGTGACTCAGTCCCTGATTACAGTATTTTTGTATTATTATAAATATAGAAGTCTACAGTAAGTAAATCATAAATGTTCTATTTTCTACCTTTCTGTCTGATCTGTTCTGCAATTTGCTGGCGATACACATTAATTCTTTATCTACTCACAATGATGAAATTACAAATGTCTTTTCTAATGTCTGATTAGGGTTTCCTATCCTTTTTGTCAGTAAAAAACTGGATATTGATTAATGAAATTTAATTAAAAACAAGTACTTTCTAGACCAGAAACCCCTCCAACAAATTTATTTCTTTACAGTTATTCAAATGGATTCTATCCTTTCCTGATCACCTTACATCCACAAGTTAAGGTTTAGTTTGTTAAGAAAAAAACAAAATAAAATGAAATTAAATGTATTTTTAGAAGTAGTACATATTATGATAATTATGTTTTATTATTTAAATAATTTCCAACACATATAAAATGTAATCATCACACAAATAAGTATAATTCAGTTCAGAGGCAGGGATATATCTCATGTACTTGCTATGCATGTGTGGAAACTAGAGTACAGATCTTAAAACCCACATCAAATGTGGGCATGGTGTATGCACACCTGTTACCCCAGCACTGAGAACAATAGAGACACAAGGATATCTGGACCTTGCTCTGTAAAAAACAAACAAACAAACAAACAAACAAAACTCAAAGAAACAAAACATGAGGTTTGGGTTCAGAAAGAGACCTAACCTCAAAGACATAAGGAAGAGTGTGAGAGAAGATGATGCTCTCCTCTGGCTTTTGCATGTGGACACCTATACATACATGTGCTCATATGCACATATACCACACCCATATACACACATATATAAAAATAAATAAGTATAATTAATCAATTTTCTTTTTCAGTACCTGGAATTTAGTTAAGGACTATTTTATTGTTTTGTTTGTTTGTTTTCTAAGACTGTAATGTGCCAGGAACTATTAGTAGCATTGGGGACATACAATTTAAATTTCTGTTAAGATTTCTGTAAATTGTCAACTCAATATTACAGTTGGCTAAAGGGAAAGGAAACCCATCAGAAAAGTCAAGAGACAGATAACAGTGATGTAGAAGAAAAGAAACTAGGAAAACAAAGTCAACAAAAGTCTGGGGAAAACACTCATTTAGCCCAACAAGAAATCATTTAAGTTTCCATTCTCGCAATTTTCCATTTCAAGGTTTTCAAGATTTTCTCCTGTAGATCCAAAACCCCACAATTTTATTCTCTGTTCAGACAACCGAGATGCTAGCTTGATATAATTTTGCATTGTTGGGACTCACTTTCTTAGCTTTTTGGTTCAAAGGAAAGTGAGCGGGAAGTGTCATAGAGAAGGTAAAGAAGGGACTAACAAGCCTTCTCTGCTCCTCCTCCTGATAATGTCTTTGGAAAAAGCATACAGAACTTTTATTGGTTACTTTTTTGAGTAAAGTGAAGGAAACACACCTTGTTGTTGTACATCCCATTGTGAACTACAATGCCTAACACTTAATGTGCTAGTAGTCCCCTTTAATTGTTCTTCTAATTCATTGAAGGGCAACTAATTTCTAGCCAACAAATCACCAGTTCCTGGTCTTCTCAACTTCACACAAATGGTTTTCATACTATTTATGACTTCTTTTAATCCAGAAGTAATATTGTTTTTTTAAAAGTAAGATACTCTATATTTATAGTGATCTAAAAAAGTCTAAATACATTTTTATTTAATTTATTGAATTAAATTATTTAAGTTAATTTATTTTTGCCAAAATAAACAATTATGAAATAGAACTTAGACTGAATTTGATCCCCAGAACCTATGATGGAAAAATAAACCAATTTTTGAAAGTTGTCTTCTGACGTTCACATATGTGCTGTTACATGCTTTGAGCACTCCTGCCACTGTAATAAACAGAAAAATAAATAAACCCCAAGATGTTCTTATTTTTAAAACAGTAGACTTTTCTTTATTGTAGAAACACCTATCAGTAATTATTTCCCCACATGTACTGTACTGTTAGAAAACAGGAATATGTCAATGGGCCTAGTGGTCCACGTCTAAAGTCCCACCTCTTGAGAGGCTGAGGTAAGAGAATAAAGAATGCAGCCTTTCCTAAACAATTCAGTGAGATCACATCTTAAAAACCTTCTTTTTAAATTTAGGGGGCTGAGTCTTACCTAGTACACAAGTGGTCCTAAGTCAATACCCAGTAGTGAGAAAGAAGAAAGAAAGAAGCACTGGGGGGGTGGGTGAAGGAAGGAGGGAAGGAAGCAAGGAAGGATGGAAAGAAGGAAGGAATAATGGAAAGAAGGAAGGAAGGGATAGAGAAAGACAAAATACTTTGCCAAATGAAAATATATGCAAGTGGAAAACCAAGTCTAATGACTTTAACATGGCCATGGAAATCTAATCTGATAAAAGTGAAGAGTGGTCCTTGTTTGCTGGGAGAGTTCCCTGGGCAGTAGGAGTTCAGTGCCGCCCACATGGCACTAGGATATAAGAAAAGAGCAATGGTACCAAAACTGAGTAAGAGTAGTTAATACTTCTCAAATAGCATAACTTTGAGCTTTTTCAGGACACATGCATAAATAGGCACAAACATATACATATATACTAATATTTTTCTATTTGAAAACATTTAAATAAGATATAAACATGTTTATTAATTTATGACTGGGACTTTAAAATAGTTTTATTTATTACTTGAGAATTCCATACATGCATACAGTGTATTTTGACCATACACATCCTTTAGTCTCCTCCCCTCTACATACCCCTCCCACCTTCATGTCCCATTTTTGTTTTTCTATAACTCACTGAGCTCAGTTAGTGCTGGTCATATGTTTACAAGTACAGTGTCATCCAACGGATCATGCCCAATCTACTAGGGATTCCCCAGCAGCTATCAATTGCCAGTAACTCCTTAGACAGAGGTAGGGCCTTATAAGCCCCTCCTTTATCAATGATGGGATGGTGATTGTATTGAGCTTGGGTATGTATTGTGAAGGTTAAGTGGCCACTGTAAATTCACGAGTGTAATTACCCCTTCATGTAAAAAAAGATAGTGTTTTATATCAGTTTCCTCTTAACTATGGCTCTTACGAACTTTCTTTCCCCACTTCCTTTGTTCACTGAGCCTTGGGGTGAGGGAACAATGTCCATATGTAGGGCTGAATACTTCACAATCACGTATTCTCTGCTCTTGACAGTTGTGAGTCACTGTACTAACTGCCACCCACTGTAAAAATCTGCTCATCTGAGGGGGGCCAGAAGCTGCACTATGATTACGTTTTTCTATAGGCAACATCATAATGCTCTTTAGTATAAAATCATTCTACTTAAAAAAAAAAAACATTAGCATAGGGAGGAAGGGAGGGAGGGAGAGGGAACTGGATCGATATGTAAAATAAGAAAAATAAATAAATAAATAATAAAAACATTAGCATACTCTAAACTCAGCATTGTAATTAATATGTGGTATAAACATTAACCCTATGATAATAAATATAGCTCTAAATAGGGCATCTATACCACACTTGGTTTCCTGAAGCTCAAGGATCATCATGGAAGAGGGGACAGAAAGACTGTAAGAACCACTGTCTCTAGATGTCTGTCATGAGACAGTACTGGTCAGGCATGACAATGTAATTGTATATGTGAACTCATGCAGCTGTGACTGCATGCATGTGACCTACACAAGAGCGAGTTATTTAGAATGCTTGCATTGATGAGGGAGGAGCTCATGGAATCTGACTCTTATCTGAGGATCTGTGGATGACTGGCTGTGGGAGGGGTCAGTTTTCTTCATGTAGTTGGCTGTCCATGCACAAGTAGATGGCCCTACAACCATAAACATACAGCAACAGTAAGTGAACTCTGTATTTACAAACCCATCACATGAAGTTGGGAGGGCAAAGTGGTTTGGGGTATAGAGGGGAGAGGATGGGGGCATGGATTTTATCAAGCACAGTTTATGCCTGTATGAAATTCGCAAACAAAAAATTAAATTAAAAATAAATGTGAAAGCACCTCTTCACTTAAGTTTTACACACATTCAAAATCATTTCTATAAGATAAACTCATTTCTTCACAATTTGGTAGACCCTGAAATGGCACCACAGGATTAACAAATTACTCTATACCCTTCCTTTACTTTTCCATATATAGTTCTACATGGTTTCCTGACTAGCTGAAAGAGCTCTAACTCAATACACAAAATTCATCATGGTCTTTCAAATGAGGACTTCTCAT